GTTTGTTGCCGTTGTAGGCCTCCTGGACCATACTTCGGACCTGTGAGTGAAACAAACAGATCAAATCGAGGATATTCAATCTAGAAGCTGCAAACAGCCCAGGAACTATTGCGTGCGATGATACATTCATTTACACAGTCTTCGTCTTGGATGATTGTGGGTGATGCTATGTGTTACCAAGTGATCACATACATGTACAGGTGAGAGGGATGAAGAAATTAGTGGGTTTATTACGAAGCTCATATGCACTTACGTCGTCACAGAGCTTCTGAACATCGGCAGTGGCAGGTCTTGGAGATGACCATTTTGAAGGGGTTAACGTTCCACCTCCCATAACAGGTCCCGGTCCACCGCTATGAAATCGTTTGCTCATCTTGTGTGGTCGTTTGGATCTAATAAGAAACCACTCTTTATCAACTACAGGCAAGGTTTGCTAGAGCTCTACTGAAACAGAAAAAAATTGCATTTGATTACACTTCTTCCAAATCTGTCTTAAATTCTAAATGCTCCCTAGAGTCACTAGCCTATCGTCGTCAAATCATCAGTCTCACTACTTTTCACAGATATGTTTTTCATCATCGTGATTACCTTGCTGATTTCCATTTCAAGATTACGAATAGTGAGCGACGACCAAATAAAATCATTCTTCCCAAGTTTAAATCATTGTCTAAGTCTCTCTTCATGTTCCGACCTGCTATTCTATGAAACTGTTTACCCCCAGTCTAACATCGGAAGCCTCGGTCTATAAGTTCAAAGCTGCCCTCCGGAAATTTACAGCTGTCCATGCTTATGCAATCAACGGAATTCCGCCACCTTGAAGTTGATTTTCCCCATTTCTCTCCTCATCAATCCCTGCTTGTCTTTGTACATACATGTACATCTACACCTACTGTTCTTTCAATCAAATGAACCCCTCGATAGGCATATTGCCTTTGGGTCATTTCATAATAATAATAATAATAATAAAACACACCAGGGGATTGTGTTAAAAAATCCAAAAGAAACACAAAATTGTTATCACAGGAAAGAAATGAAGAGAGATCCACCAGACTGAAGGAAGAGCCATGGATGATTTTTTGTTTAGGTGACATGACAAGGTAGGCATGTACATGCATGTACATGTACATGTAGGGGCAGGCTTGTGGGCCGGTTGTGGCCCATGGTGCAGCAGCCTGTAGTGGCCATGCAGAGTTCTGCATGAATACTTTGTTTGCTCCTCACTCAGCACATTCTGGGGCTGAATACATGTACTGGCATTCTCTGGCGCTACACACCACAAGGAAACCCGACTCCAGTTGACATGGCACCTTTTGAAGGGTGAATCTAGTACAACTGGTCAGAAACAAACAATAACACAGCCTTTCAAACTGTTCCACTGTTCATAGTAGGCGCAAAGTGTGCTGGCATGCTGCAGTATCTGCTTTGGTGATGACCACCAAGTGAAAATTGATATCAGCACGCCGTACAATCCCTTGCAGCTAGCTGTCCAGCGAGGAAGTCTCGAGTGGGGGCCTCTCGATCTGCTCGCTCATTCACCTGTCATTCACTCAGTAGCACTTCATCGCCAAGGACTTCAATTCAAAACAGTTTTCACACTGCGCTTCAAGCCTTTTCCTCGTGAACTTGCTGCAAACGTATGAGCTTTGCTGCGCGTGTTCCCTTTGCGTGAGGCCCAGAAACAGCTAGTATCTCCGAACTACGATTGGCTGGATCGATGTCGTCCAGGTTTTCCTCGCTATCGCCATCACGACTCTAACTGGAGACGATTTCTTCACCATTTTCCGCAAGCAGCAGCTAGCGCAGAAATTTCGCCATCCCTGAGTGTAGGAGATGGAATCCGTTGGATCAGCTCAAAAACTCCTCGTTGTGACTAGAGGAGTAGCAGTGAATATTCTACCGGAAGCCCTTTGACTTCCCTGACTGCTGAAACCTTTCCTGCCATGACTGCTACTTCTTCAAACAAGCGAGATTCTCTCTGGTTCCACTTCACTGCACTCGATCGTCCACGCGACACAACCTTTTTACAAAACATCACTTTCTCAAAAAAATTATGTTCACCCTAAGCCTGGTTTTCGCAGATTCTGGGCCAAATGACTCGACGCCAACTTTTACCTGAGGAGACTACACGATTAACAGACAGCCCAGATGATAACCAACCCGAAACACATCGACCAATAACACGCAGCATGACTCGATCAACACGAATGAATTCCACCAATGGTCATGGACCAGAAGCGCAACGGACTTGACAACAATATTGACGGAGGATGAGGATCGGCAGACCACGGACGATGAAGGTACTGGCAGTTATAGAGAGCAGGACGAGGATGTTGAGGCCAACAGTGGACAGATGCAAGGTGAGGGTGATGATACTGGAAAGAGATCCACTATAAAGAAACACCTGCTGTCCAACAGTCAGTGCCGTTCAATTTCTGATGACTCTTGTTCCACAGTTTTTTGCCGTGTTCGTAGGTTTAGTGAACTTAAAGACTAAGTATTGGAAGCTGTTTTCATTCGGAAACTTAACCCCAATCTATGCATCCAGGCAGAAAATGTCATTAAACTTAAACTACTAGTATTCTCTTAGCATTCACACACACATACACCCACCCACATACCCATGCGCGAACTCCTTACACTTCACCCTCTCTGGGTCTCACATTGATATTATTTCTCACCTGCCCACCCCTGTTATTAGTTCACACTTCTCTTGTATTTTATTTTCACATACTGCATTTCGTACTCTTCCACGTATATATCGTTGTGTATTGCTAGATTTCAGTATTGAGTCGTATTTTCCCTGATGAATGTCTCTAGAAAACGTGTTCGGAAACTTTTTGATTTAACTTTTTTGATCCATCTTTTATTTTTGTTCATGACTACGTCCAATGTCCGCTTCGCTGATTCTGCTTAGTGCGTTATTAAAGTTATTGTCCCCGCGCCGATTATTCGAAATTCTGAAACAGAATCTATAACGGTAATCTTGGGTGGAAGGCAATTCCATATTTTTTAAACTATTGGTCTTCGATAATTCTGCGTGCCACTAAATTGTCACAACATATAGTCACCAACATATTCTACAAGTAAGAGGAAAGAAGATATTATAATATTATGTGGGTCTATTGCGAAGCCAATATGAACTTACTCGGTTACAGAGCCCCTGAACATCGTCAGTGGCAGGTCTTGGAGACGACCATTTTGAGGGGATCAACGTGTCGTCTCCCAGAACAGGTCCAATGCTCATCTTGATCGTTCCTTGCAAGACGAAAAACTTGACTGAGAAGACAGAAAGCTTCGAAAGATTGTGTCCTACTTTGCACCGCTCGACTTCACGTTTTATAGCCCTTTGATAGCCTTATCACACGACGCTACGTGCTCGCAATTGCACTATGCTATGGTTCTACTATGCACGGCATGATATTCGACACGACGTCTAGCTCTGCAGACACAGCGCATACAACAAAGTACACGATTGTACAAGCCAGTTCATGATCTGCAGTCACAGCGCATACAATCCAGTTCATGAAACGCGAAACCGAAAACGCACAAACAGGGGTCCAGGTAGTTGCGGGCTATGATGTCGCAGGCTATGGGTTTTCGACTCAGACTTGAAATAGATCGATGATCACCGTCGCGTCCTTGGTGAGCCTCTCGCGAGGCCGAGAAGCCGTGACATATTCTCGTCGTGTGAAAGGCCTATTACTAGTCTTCGCACCCGTGACCACTCAGTGATCACTGATCACTGCCCCTCTACTACATGTACAATAACATGAATTTTGTATGTGGTTTGGCGGACATAGATCGGAATTTTGGTTCACGAACAGTATTCAAGGTTCCAATTGTGCCGGTAATGGCATTCAGAAGCAGATAAAAAAGACTTACATGTTTCGTTGGCAATATATTTATGAATATTTTGTCAGAAGGAGATGACAGGCTCGGATCGTTTTACGAAACAAGATACCCTGTCAAAAGTACAAAGGGAGCCTCAGCTGTTCTCACCTTTCTTATCCAAGTCACATGTACTGAAGTACATGACGATACTCGCAAGCACTGTGCATTCACAAGTACAGCATACTGGTATAACTTAGTAGTACCCCCCTTGGCGTCAGGCAGATGTGGTGTTTATCACCCTCTTTGCCAAGCAGTGGAACACGCGCAGTACATTTTTGTACATGTTGTGCAGATGTTGTGTTTCCTTGCCACATAAACCGGGTGTACATGTATATCCCCAATGGCGATTAGGCATCATGTAGGCATGGCAAGCACATCAGGGCAAAAAGTGATAAACAATGCAATGATAATATGCGCAGAAATGAAGGGTGGGAGGGCAGGGACACTGGTGAGACTCAAAACTGACTGAAGTGAAGAAGTCAAGAAAAGGAGCGACAATAAAGAACGCACCAGATGCCATATTTACAACTGAAAATGTCTCGCGAGAAATCATTTCTCGCCTATCTCGCTGCGCTCTGCCGGCGAGAAATACAATGTACTGAGAATCTTGTCGGAACGTTGGTTATTTATACTCTTAACTCCGAACTGGGAATAATACTGCCAACGTCAAAGGTTTTTGTACAATCCACAACTCCAACACAAGCAATCCTCGAACTGTGATTGTACATGTAGTTCCAGTGAATAAGATCAGCGCAAAGCTGATACCCCGGGAACAGAATGGAATGGTTATTGACCGCATCAGGTTATTACCAGACAAGAACACACGACATCTGCACAACAAGAATCTTCTGTTGGCAATCATCATGTGGATGGGAAGGGGGCATGGAAGTACAATTCTTGAGCTACAAGAGAACATACATGTACATGTAACTGTGTCACTTAAACAACGATTCTCGACGAGCGCTGTGTGACACCTTCACCTTATACAAGACCTTTTTTAGTAATCCTTTGAGCTACGTGTTTTCCTCCATTCCGCTAACAGTCTGCAATCGATGTAAATCTACGCAACTGGACAAGTCATACTGAGCATCAACACCAGTCGTGCCTATAAATTTAGCGGCAATGGATAGCTCGTTTCACAACACTCTCCTCTCTCCTGAACAGTGCTTCTCCTTGTTCGCGCTCTAAATCAACAGCATGGAATCCGGTATACTTCTTGCTGAGGCTGACGACACTGTTAAAGGCTATTGCAGACAAGTAAGCCAACCCGTTTCTGTGAAATATAAATGATTGTGCTATTTCGTTCTAACACGAATAGTAATCACACACTGTAATCACTCTACCTGGTATGGACGGTCATGGATGGATGTATTGCCCATAGGCATGATCCTATTATATTTAGTCAGAGCGTTCTGTAGTGGGCAAATTTTGACATAAGCTAATTTAGGCACAGCAGCCATCAAAAAGAAGGCATACGAGCAGTATATAGCAATTGATGTATCTTAGACTCGGAGATACACAGCCAGGTATCAATAGTCAAAAGTCTGCATTTTGTTGTGGTGATTCTTTGTTGCCGTGATGCGTAGCTCCTGCACTTCTTCATTGCGCTTTCTTTCCCCTCTTGGACTTTTCCGAACCTGAACCTTGCAAGTTGGAAGGTTGTTGGTTTGTGCCTTGGAGAAGTGTTGGAGCTAGGTGTCAGTTCGCCGAATGTCTCAGTACTCCTTTGTCAGTTTTGTGCATTTTGTCGCACTCTGACTGTATAAGATCTGGCGACGTTGATGGACAGTTAGTCATAACTTGTAACACTTCGTCCTCCTTTTTCACCATAATTTAATTGGCTCACCTAGTTTCGTATTATATTAATGAATTTACTTTGGCATTCCCAAGAGACTCTATCGTCCTCGAAAAGGGTGCCGCCCAATTCGTTCCGTCAAACAGGCCACAGTTTGGTGAATCCACGTCCTGGTCCCATAGTTTCTCACTATCGACCAGGCTGTACTATTCACTTTTAATCTTTATGGCAAGTGTCAATTGAATAAAGCCTCCAACCTACATAAAAAGTCCATTAAAATAGGATTCTGGGTGTTCCCTGTGTGATCGTCAGCAATCATCTAATGTCGAAGGGAATTAGAGTACGTGCCATCATTGTTGCGAGTTGCTGTTGTTGTTGTTGTGGTGGTGGTTGTTGTTGTTGTTGTTGTTGTTGTTGTTGTTGTTTTGTTGTTGTGGTTGTTGGTGGTGGTGGTGGTGGTGATGGTGGTGGTGATGTTGCTGTTGTTGCCCTTTTTATTGACCTTGTTGTTGTTGTTGTTGTTGTTGTTGTTGTTGTTGTTGTTGTTGTTGTTGTTGTTGTTGTTGTTGTTGTTGTTGTTGTTGCTGTTGTTGTTGTTGTTGTTGTTTTTGTTTTTGTTGTTATTGTTATTGTTGTTGTTTTTGTTGTTGTTGTTGTTGTTGTTCTTGTTGTTGTGGTTGTTGTTGTTATTTATTTTATTTATTTATTTACTTATTTCTGCACCTCGTGGCATGTCAAGACAGTCAATTGAATTGAGGAGAGGGTGAGACCAACCACGGAAGAAGAGAAAAAGAAAAGAAATGAAGAGTACGTACACAAAGTGGGAAGGGATTAGCAACTTACAAAGGAATGGGATGCTCAGCGAGCTATGCAGCGGAAGTGGTGACTGTGATTTTGTTTACTGGGAGATACTGAAGTGCTTTCTGACGAGGGTAAGGAATTGGGGCATATCTGGAGCTGGTCTAACACTGGGAGGCAGTTGGAGCCACGTGGAGTAGGAGGAAAGGAAAGGGGAATTTACGTATAGGATAGACGAACGCAGCTTCGGGTGGTGCCACCTGACTCAAATCAATTAAGGGACTGTAAATGAGGAGGGTGCTGGTCAAGAAACATTGAATGTGCAAGGGTGCACTTGGAAGCATCAAGGTAGTGTTGCAGAGTGGTAGTGGATGCAGCAGCATACAAGTCTAGATTTGAGATATAACGATCAGTACAAAATGTGATGCGCAGTATACGGCGATGGAGAACTTCTAATTGACCTATGTGGTTTAGGTTAATGGTGGACCAGGCAGGGAAGCCTTACGTGAAGAGGGGAAGAATGTATGATTTATAAAAATTAATCCGGCAATTTTGGGGAAAATGGGACAAGTGTCTTGATATTATGCCGACAGATCGGCATACTTTGGACGAGACATGATCAGCATGGTGAGACCAGGAGAGGGCGGAATCTATGACAATGCCAAGGTGTTTATGGTGGGGCGCTACAGAGATAGGGTGACCGGGATCATCGGGAAAGTGGAAGATTGGCACTGGATTTCTGGGAGGGGAAAAACGGAGGAGCTCAGTTTTGGTCACATTTGGCTTGAGGTACCGAGCGCTCATCCAGCGAACAATGTCGTTGATACAGGTTTGAACTTTGGGGTACAGGGTGGCGTGAGATGGGGAGGAAGCAAGGACAGTGGTATCATCGGCAAACAAAGAAATATTGGGAATTGCATAGGGGAGGTCATTAACGTATGTGAAGAAGAGCAGGGGACCTAAAATGGAGCCCTGGGGCGCTCCGCATATCCCAGACTCGGGGTCAGTTAAGGTTCCATTCACTGTGACGCACTGATTTTGGTCCAATAGGTAGCTGGTTATCCAGGCGAGTAGGGAGCCGGAGACACCATGGGCACGAAGTTGGGCGATCAGGCCCTTGTGCCACACGGTGTCGAAGGCCTTGGAGAGGTCGAAGAAACAGATGCAGGAGACCTGCCGCTGGTCTTTTAGGGAGCAGAGGTCTTGGATTATGCGGAACAATTGCAGGGATGTGTTGTCCTTACGACGGAAGCCAGATTGTGCGGGGTAAAGAAGAGGGGAGAGATGGCCATACAAGCGGTCGTACACTATTCTCTCTAGCAGTTTGGGGACACAGGACAGGAGGGAGATAGTCCTTATGCACATTGTACAGATGTACGAAGTTCTGTACTATGGCCGTAGGTGTGTACATACCCGGTTGGGTGTTCATTGTGTGCTATACATGCGCGTTTGACCCATTTAGCCTCACAATTCATGGCAAACGATCACTTTTCAAGCCTTCTTCACTTTGGGATTGAACTAACGACTAGCTAGATCTCTGCCGGAAAAAGATTTCGTATGAAATGCCTTCATGGCCCATTTCATAGTGGAAATAGCAGTAAACACAATAGGGTCCTGCACATTCAACACCCAACCGGGTCTACGGGATTCTACAAGATTATACGGGATTTCGTGCATCTGTACAATGTGCATAAGGCCTATTGGTCGGAAATTAGACGGGTTGTTCCTGTCGCCTTTATTTTTGTGCACTGGGATGACAGTGGCTGACTTCCATCGTGACGGGAATGTGCCGGAGGAGGGGAAAGGTTAAAAAGAATGGAGGTTGTTGTTGTTGTTGTTGTTGCTGCTGCTGTTGTTGTTGTATTTGTTGTTGTTGTTGTCGTTGTTATGTTGTTGTTGTTGTTGTTGTTGTTGTCGTTGTTATGTTGTTGTTGTTGTTGTTGTTGTCGTTTTTGTTGTTGTTGTTGTTGTTGTTGTTGTTGTTGTTGTTGTTGTTGTTGTTGTTGTTGTTGTTGTCGTTGTTGTTGTTGTTGTTGTTGTCGTTGTTGTTGTCGTTGTTGGTGTTTATGTTATTGTTGTAGTTGTTGTAGTTGTTGTTGATGTTGTTGTTGTACGATTCGTCTCAATTCTCACTTCTCCTGTTATTTAAAATGGAACGTTGTCCAGGGTAAGAGAACTAGAGGGTTCTCTGGGTGCCGAGGAGCGTTTTTTCCGCACCTCAATCCACTTGTTGATTGTGGACACTGCCTAAGTATTTTCCCAACTTCCGTCCAATATCACTCACAGTTTGTGAATAACCCTGGACTTATATATTTTGTGCTGCTGCAGATTCGAGAGGAAGTTGCGAAGAAGGTGAACGGAAAACAGGATTTCAGCATGTTTACTCCCACCATCTACACTGTTGTTTCTGGTGCCACTGAATATTATGTCGTCAACACATATTGTGTCAAGGTACGAATTTTTAATAATGTGTCTGTCGTTCTGTAGAATCCATGCAGTCAATGGAGGTGCTTGTCGTTCTTGTGTTACTGCGTATTAATTTCAAATGTTAGAGTCCTTAAACTATCCTGTCTTGTCTTTTATCTGTTGGTGCAAAGGTTCAAATCAACGCTCTGTGCGAAATTATCGTTGAATTCACTATCAGAACGGGAGATGATTCGGAACCACTTACTGATTTGAAGACCAGAGCCAATGGACCTTTGAGTTTCACGAAATGAAGGCCATCTATCGTCACAATATCCTTGTCACCCACCATCTCACGATGTTCTTTTCTTGTTCCTTTTTCACTAAAAAACGAATAAATGAATGAACTAATCATCTAGCATTTAGAGGACTACCCTTTTTCAACTTAGTTTTTTGATTCTCTCTGCTATGTTTACGTTAGAGTCTGTGTCACACCGCGCAGCAGAAATAGAAAACAGGAGTACCGTTTCAAATGTTTCAGCCTTTGGCCATCATCTGCCAAATGATTTTTCTTTTTTCCATGCATTTGTAACTCACACTATAACTGTGTTGCTCCAGTGCATAAATTTAGGCAATCTGTCTTTGAAATGGAACCAAAGTCGGCGAAAGTGCGCCTCTCTGAACACATCATTTGGCTGCTATTGTGGATTTTAGGCGGATTTATTTGGCCATTTTCGGGGGGCCTGATTCCTGTTGTTGGCCTACTTCTGTTTACTTACGTGTTATGGAGAAAAACAAGCATGCAGATCAAGTAGAAACATAGAAACTCATTAAAACAGAAGTAGTAGTTCTACATTGTATTGACGTTGTTTTTGCAAATGAAATCCACAGGTTAATTGTCATTAGCTACGAGAACCCTTTTCATGATTTAGACGCTGCAGTTAATGGTGGAAATACATGGGCATGTGCATGTAAATACTTCGAAAGTAAATTATATTTATCATAGTAACGTTGGACACAGTAAAATTAAGCAGCTCAATAGCCTCACACTCTTCAATGGGTTGATACATACACGGGCTTACAGAATTGGCACGCAGCAGAGAAGGGTCGTGGCGTTCCTACGGATTCGGAAAACCTGGCTTCTAGCCGAGTCTCACGCGAGCTGTGAAAAAAGAAGGAAAAAAAGAAGGAGCAGTCACTTGGCTTAGGGTACGTGGTGTGTACATGTAACTATATGTTCCTCATAAGTAAAGATTTTTGCCACAGCCAGTTGGATTTAATAAACAGGAACAAACAGGAACATTACGGTCATGACTTCAAAATCATTTTTTTAAAGCTGGTAGGAGAATAATTTTGATAACCTCACTCAACAAGAAAAGCTGAATCGACATCTCCACCGTTTACATGGCATGAGTAAAGTAATTGAGGTATAGTGCATAAATATCGATTCAGTTTATATCAATGATTGCAGTTATCAAAATGCGTGAGTTGATTTTTTATAAAGTTTTTTGGTTCTCACTAGATTTCATGGTAATAAGATGGTTCCGGAATTCCAGTTTGTTACAGATATCTCCCTACATTAGCAGAATGCACAGCTCATACGTTTACATGTGGAATGGGTTATTCTTGCATGTAAGCATCCCCTTTTTAGCCCTACAGACTGGATGCTGGGTACGAATATACATGTACTTTTGCAGACATAGTGTACATGTACATGTACATGTACACACAAAATAATAACAAATGCTTTAAGTTTTGGCGATGCCTTTTGTACTTTCCTCTGCAAAGTTGTTACTATTATAGTCCGTGCACTTCCTGCCCTATCTTGGCTGCAATTCTGGTGCCATATACAGGTCACAAATGAACACTTTATCGTTGATTTTTGTTATCAGTGGGGTTCGTCCCCTGTATGGCGGGTTATCGCAGGCATCTTCCCTTGGGAGGGGAAAGGTGATGGGCGATTGCCGTGAACTGACTTGAGAGGTTCACGGCACGAGCAAAGTCAATGCCACCAGCACCAAACATCTTGTGTTGCCCAAATGGGGACGATTGTGGAGAGCAGCTACCAACAGAATTTACCACAAAGCAACACTGGGATCCCACGCTCATTAAAAAAGTAAATTATCGGGTCCGTTCCCGACGAGAACTCACGACGGCCCCTAACACCCGATAAACACTAGCGGCAGATGAAGCGCCTAACGGTGGAGGTGAGTGGATAAGTCTCACAACCACTAGCACAAGTGCCATGAAAGACCCCATTAGCCACATTCATGTACCCCTTGTGCCTGGCCACAAGTTCCCAGCACACTGTGGGTAGCAGCACGGCTGAAAAAATCGCTCCCAGACAAAACTTGAACTAGTTACCTCTTGTACAATGTATCTCAATCATGGTCTTTGCCTAACCCACTGGAATAGTTGTGATTGCATCGAAAAGACGTTGAAGAATTCATTTTGAACAAGTCTTGCGGTGCTCGTGGGCTTCGGTTATAATCTTATCTATTTTTTACGCATCTGTAGCATTGACACCAGTCCACCCTCTCAGGGATAAAAAGCAAGATGCAGCTCCACATGCGGTAGAAAGTGAGTAAATCAGACCGATCACAAAACAGTTTACCCTAGTCTCTGTCTCACAAGCATGGTATTGTCTTTTGCATTTGTTTTATTATACATGTACATCACATGTCAAACGGGCAACCAAATTGAAATAGTATTGCCTTCTCCCCTGGCTCCTGCCACACAACAATGCAAACAACTTGGTAGAGTTGTTGACTTCTTCTATAAACGAAAAGGGCACAAGGACCAAAACTAAGGTGACACGAAAGACAAAGTAAAAATACACACCGGAAAAGACAACAAGAAACAACAAAGAACAAGCAGTAATAGAGCGACGACAAATCGGGACGACCAATCAGGGAATAATACGTACAGAAAACATGACTAATACCAAGACATCCAGACCACGGAGGAAATAAATGACATCTGACACTGGACTCTACGAGACAAGAACCAAATACAACAACATGCGTAAATCATAGTCGAACGGAATTTCGCAACAAAATGATGACGAGTGAAAGAGAGAAAGGCCTCGCGTTGTCAAAGTCTATTTTAACAACCTAGTGCAGAAAATTGTGTTAGTATGTGCGCACATGTGCATGTACAAGCTCGTATGCTCGTAAAAAAATAAGTACGTAAATTGAGTGAGTGTAGGGTAGTTTAGAAAGGATGATTGTTCAGAGGACCGTCTTGACCGACAGCCGTTAGTTCGGGTGCAGTTTCTCCAAGAGGCTGGTACACTTGAATGCGAATCTGAGACTCCTCGCTGATCCGAACCTGCATGTTAGAAGGATTATTTTGCGGATTCACACACACACACACAGATACACACTCACATACACATACACACACGCAAAGGAACACACGCACACAAATACTCGCACACAACACACACACACACACAAGTACACTCACACACACACACACACGCACAAACACACACACACACACACACACAAACACACACCAATAATGTTTTATATTTTGTGTATTCAAAGGTGAATCGTTACGTTCCGTCTTATGAAACACAGTCTTTTTACTGCAAAACAATCGAACGGTTCGCGTACAGGACACGTCAAGAATCAATTTTTCGCCTCCGAGGGACGCCACCACTCCATGGTCAGGCGTCAGATGCGCCTCCTAAACGGTGGGGGAAGGATAGATCAGATCCACCAACCAGAGGCCAAAGCCCGAAATCCCATTTTCCACATCCATGGTGCTTTCCTCGTGCCAGGCCACGAGTTCCCATGTAGGGAGCAACACACACTTCTCCAACTATCGCCGAAGTCGCACCAACCTCTTCTTCACAGTGTTGCCCCCAGAGCGGGCTTGCGAATTAGATGGTTTGGAGGCAACATCGGTGTTAATGGCCAACGGTCCTCAGCGCTTGTTCAGCACCTCCATGAGCAACACTGACACACGCTGCTATATAGTGTTCACGAGGTGTTTGTCGCGCTGGAAACGGAGCGTCTCTGTAAGTTTGTATCCCTGGTGATGTTTGTGCCTGGAGAGCATTATACAAGTGGTGCTCCTCAGGCACACTCTTCCTCAGCCTACTCAAGCTCAACTGATGATGGGTGAATTCCCCGAAACACTGTGTATTGAGCAGGGAGTGGTGGTTTCTTGCAGGTTTGCCGCATGGACGGTTCGATGGACTTCTCCTCGTGTGCTCTGGATGGCAGTCGTGAGTCAGTCAAGTGAGAATTCAAGTCGGCAGGAAAACCACTAGCTCCCATGCAGGGAGCAACACACACTTCCCCAACTATCGCCGAAGTCGCACCAACCTCTTCTTCACATTGTCTTTATGGTTGTGATAAAACTTAACCTTACAGGCTGTATTGCAGTCTGCTAGTACTTATCAAGTGTTGAATAGTTATTGAAATTAGTATACCTCTATCAACACCCACTCTGTGCTTGTTAGCCTTGTGAAAATTGGGTCAAACGTTTGAGCTAACCTCGCAGTGTGCTGTGCACAAAATAGCCATTACACTTTTAACGCTCTATTAAATAACACAAAAATACCAGTTTGACGGATTTGTAGCGCTGCGTGAAGTTGCTAATAGGGAACAGACTGCTTACCTTTATCCGATAGTTCATTCCAGAAACAACCTGCGATATGTAGAGTGTAGCGTGGAACATCAGGAATTTCTCAACGTTGATGCCCGTCGCAACCTTCTTCTCCACCTGACAACAGCAAGAACAGGGAGTTGTAATTAGACTTCAGATCCACTGTCTAATAAGCACGCAGCCATTTAGAAACACGACTGCACAAAAGAATGCTTCAGACAAACCCGTCACAGACACATGTAACATGTTATGTACGCAGGTGATGCGCTAGGACTGATCATGGAAAAGATGCAGCAGTAGACTACTCGGCTAGGCGAAAGCAATTCAAACTAAACTTTTCTTTAATTTCAATCTAGTACTGGACCGACTACTTTGATGTGTGAAAATTCATCCATTCAGAAAGCCAGAACGAGGGAGCACAAATTTGTGGCTAGGCTGCGGACTGGAACCGGGAACAGCATATTATGCCATCTTCTAAGACGCTTACTTTATCACAAATGGCCTGGATGTATGCATCAGCTTCCTGGGGCGGATGGCTCCAGCCACCCAACATTGTTGCGTCCGTCTGCGCCATTGCGAATTGCGAATAAGAACGGGAGAAACTTGGCGCTCGTACAAGCTGCGAAACAAGTTTTTAAAGATAAAAGACCGTCACCGAGTCTTAAATACTGATCGTGGATATCTGCTAATAGATGTGCAAGGCTTAGTGGATGACTAGTGGTATTAAAAACACACGTGTGTTCGCGTTCTCTCGAATGACTCCCAGGGAATAATGACTCCCAGGGAAAAATGACTCCCAGGGAATAATGACTCCCAGGGAATAATGACTCCCAGGGAATAATGACTCCCAGGGAATTTTATGTTGCTTTTTACATGTATGGCTTCAGGTATGGGAGACCTTTTAGAATTGGGCAGATGGATGGGTTGAATTTAAATACATGCATGACGTGAAATTAGGCCTTATGCTGTGCTCCTGGGAAACTTCTTGCCAGGGTGGATGAACACCTCTACATGTACATGTAGGTAGAATTCAGTCGGGGAAATGAACTGCCTGAAAAGAGAACTACTGAGCTATGGGACCAGGCGAAACGTAGAAGGCGCTGACAAGTTTTTCACTCGTCTTGTGAGCTGCCTTTGGAGTGGAGCGCCTTCTAAGTTCAGCCTGGTCCCATGGCTCAGTGGATTGAGGATTGCTCATGAGAAGCAAGGTCATGGTTTCGAGTCCTGGTGGATCTGGCGGTTTTTTTCTCTTTTCAGGCAGTTCACTACTCCGAATGGTCCCTTGAACATGACTGTGCCTTCAAAAATCGAGAACCATCTATCATGGCGCGGCGGTGTACACTCGCTCTGCAGAAACAGAGCTGTTGCACAGTTGGTGTAATGTGGCGCACTCGGAACGAACTCAGCCTCAAGCCAAAGCCAAGCGACTGTTGTACTTGGTCGAGATCAGTACTATCACGGGTGACACCCCACCCCACCCACCCGCAGCTCACTACTAGGATTTTGAAGAGATCAGTAGAACGGTAGACCTTTAAAAACAATTCCTGGGCCAATGCCGTATGCTCTTGCATGGCCTGACACGATGTTAAGTCCGGCTTGGACGTAGAAGGATATTGGCCACTGGTCTGCTGCCCACTTTCAACACATTCTTCGGGGTCTGATCTACTCATCTCCAGCTGCTGTCGGAGCTGCATTTGCTCCCTGATACATGTACATGGGTGGTGGCTTTGCTGCAGAGGTGGATAACGCAGTATGTTTGAGTCTCCAGCCCTATCATGAATTTATTATACAAGAAATAATTACTTCGAAGGAGTATTATATATTGCTAAGCTCCAGTAGGAGAGATATTTCTACATTGGGGTGTTGTAAAGTGTTAATGGATATGTACATCCACCCTACACACACGTGTGTGCATAATTCACGGTACGCACTCTCTAGTCGCACAAATCATTCATGATGGTATTACTTCTGTGAAGTAACAGTTCGAAATTCACCACTGCACTGGTTTAACTCAATATCCGATTTACCTAGCATTATTAGTAAACAGAACAAGAGAGCGCTTGTGCGTACATGTACATGTACATGTATGTGTATATTTGTTTGAGTGTCAGTGCGTGTGTGTGTGTGTGCGTGTTGCTTTGTGAAGTAGAGGGATAGAGATGGATGGTGACACACGTTAGTACCAACATGCTGAAAAAGTGGGGCATCCCGCGTTAGACACAAATGTTCCAATATATTTAGCTGATGATGAAAATGAAACCTGATCAGTTATCTTACAAGCGTGGAACTTGAGTCGCAGAACTTCGTTCTACCCAATGCTGTACTGCATTAGACCTGTGTGGACACATCATTATACCGTAGGTACACTGTACATGTACATGTATGTGCAGTACACGACTGTACAATGTTATGTGCTTTACTGTACTTCCTCACGACTCAATCATCATCAATGAGCCCTCTTGAAAACTGTGAAGGCATAACTGCTGGGGGGGGGGGGATGCATGGCTGGGACGATCTATTAGTACACATTTTCTAACACGTTTTACCTCCAAGGCCCTACGGACTGGGATTTAGAGACAAGTGCACGTAACTCGTTTCAAGTGGTAGAGTAACGGACTCCTAAGGTTCTAGTGTACAGCTGTTGATCCATGGCTATCAGCAGTACGCGCAGGCCCGGACCGGAGTTAGGGGCCAGTGCAGCAAAGACTGAAGAATGCGAAAGTTTAGAACTCCAAGCTCTCAGACACCACTCACCAGCGAAGTGTCATCACGCAATGCGTTCAAGTGAGCTGAGGCCATCTTAGCGCGACATACTGGTGGCGAGTCGTTGGCTTCGACGTGTGGTGGCTTGTACTCGCAGTGAGACTAGATACGGGTGTTCGTGTAGAACAGTGGCCTGGGCCTGCAACTCACAACAACATTCAATAATTCGTTACTCTAGCTCTAGCTCCATAAGTCGCTCCATCTAACATTTTTATACTAGATCATGAACCCATGTGTTCAGTACTCAATACGGTGTTGCAAGTCTATTCCTGTCTGGATCTTCTTTGCACGGTCAGTCCTAGTACTGAGATCCTATTATGGCCGATAGTGCTGATGCAGAGAATCCAGGAGAATCTGTGGGCAGCATCTGCAAATACGTAAGTGGTCTTTACTGAGCAACGGCCGTCTCTTGGTTTGCCTGGATATGTGGTTTAAATACAAAATAGAATAAATAAACCACTTTCTAAGGATTGTGGTAGTATCCGACTAAAGGAGAATCTGCTAACAACTGAAACTTTACAAGATATTACAAGATACCCATGGACACGAATTATAAGCAACCGTGCACCTCTCCAACTAGCAGTAGTAGAAGTAGAAATTATTATTTGACTAGGGGAGTCCCAACAGATATGGCTTTATTACAGGGAACCCTAGCATGGCAATCTACTTTGTTATACAATTCCCTGCTCTTGTTAGGCTTTGCCTGCACTCATTTGTGGGCCGACTTTCACCTCTTAGGCCTGATCATGAAATTTTTTAGTTGCAATGCTTTTAGCTTTCCCAGCGGAGATGTGGTCGAGCTAGGTTTCGTGTCATTGAATGTATCAATCCTCTCTACGTTCGGTGCCTAGTCGTTACACATTATGACCGGCTGGTGATAAGGCTGGGCAGTTGCTCATATCTCCTATCCGTTTGCCTCGTCTTCTTTTTAGTACTAGTAGAATTAAGTTTTCGCAACAAAATTGAGCAAGTTGCGCATTCAATTCAGTCATAACGATATACCAGTCGCACAGGCTAGGCATCCTAGAGTAGAGTTGAAATGACCAGTAAAATTTAATTTATTAAAGGAATCTTACAACAGTTCTCTCCCCTTCCGTATTCAGTTCTCGCTTTACATATGAGCCGAGCCAAACTAAAAGGTGGCTTAGGCATAATTTTTGGAAATTTCTTTTTTCATGCCAAAGTGATGTCTATCCAACTTCCATCATGGAGATTTTGGTGCCCATCTGAAATGTATATGTGCCATATATAAGCATACATTGTGCACATGTCACAGAATGGCTGGTATCAATGACACTAAGGATTCCAAGACCTTCCCAAACTCCAAGAAAACATGGAACACCAAGCAGAGACAAAGCTTAGCAGGTGTGCAAGCAATACAAGAAGAATGAGCACTTGTGTTCTAATTAGAAGATCCAAGAAAGAAGAAATAACAGATCTACATTAAATTTTTATCATGACTCGTATCATTTTATCACGCAATACGAATTTTCATATCCTTCATCATGATTATTGTGGGGTTTGTCGCGCTGGAAATGGAGCGTCTCTGTAAGTTTGTATCCCTGGTGATGTTTGTGCCTGGAGAGCACTATATAAGTGGTGCTCTTCAGGCACAATCTTCCTCAGCCTACTCAAGCTCAACTGATGAGGGGTGAATTCCCCGAAACACTGTGTATTGAGCAGGGAGTGGTGCTTTCTTGCAGGTTTGCCTAGTCGAAGGTTCGATGGACTTCTCGTGTGCTCTGGATGGCAGTCGTGAGTCAGTCAAGTGTCAAGTAAAGTCGGCGGAATAGCGCGAGCTCCGGTGTGGGGAGCAAACCCTTTCTTACAAATCATCGCCGAAGTCGCAACCACTACTTCGTACTGTTGTGCCCAGCGCGGGCTTGCGACTAGTTGGTTTGGAGGTGACAGCGTTGCGAATGACCGAGGGTCCTCAACGTCTGGTCTCACCGTCCAGTAGCGACACTGACTCACCCTGCTATCTGGTGTTCACGAGGTGTTTGTCGCGCTGGAAATGGAGCGTCTCTGTAAGTTTGTATCCCTGGTGATGTTTGTGCCTGGAGAGCACTATATAAGTGGTGCTCTTCAGGCACAATCTTCCTCAGCCTACTCAAGCTCAACTGATGAGGGGTGAATTCCCCGAAACACTGTGTATTGAGCAGGGAGTGGTGCTTTCTTGCAGGTTTGCCTAGTCGAAGGTTCGATGGACTTCTCGTGTGCTCTGGATGGCAGTCGTGAGTCAGTCAAGTGTCAAGTAAAGTCGGCGGAATAGCGCGAGCTCCGGTGTGGGGAGCAAACCCTTTCTTACAAATCATCGCCGAAGTCGCAACCACTACTTCATCATGATGTTGTGACTATATGTTTCGCTGCGTTGGGGAATGTCGCATCTTACCAAGACAGTCCGTCATACTCTCTCCAATCACCTATGCCAGGATGAATTAATCCTTTCATTTAGCTCGTAGTGCTGTGCCAGAGATCTAGCTCGATTGGTGTACTGCCCTCGCACCTACATATAGGTCAAGTAGACTGCACATCGCTAACAAGCGGCACTGGTTCTTTGTCCGTCCTAGTCCATGTCTTTCTCCTTCCCTGCCAAGGATGTTGGTAGAAGGCGCCACGCGGGACGAAATGCTAGCAGGTAGAGTCAATGCATCGTGTGGCACTATTTCCTTGAAACGAGGAAATTTTGCAATCCAGTACGCCACGTCATGAACACTAACTTTGAAGGTAGCCGAAACAAAGTGAAACCTTGCAGCAAGAGCCAACTATGTGCTTCCATAGCTTTTACTATGTTCTTCCATAGCCACTTCTAGGCTAAGCCTTCGCCGTCATTTTATTGGGTCGTCATCCCGTTTG